GTATTGTTTCTTTGCATCTTCGAAACAACTGTACAAGGTAGATACTGTCCTCGTCCTCTCAGACGTAGCAAGCAGATTGTAGCCCCCGGGCCTTTGTACTACTTGTCCCTTCTGCCTTGAACTCTCTGGGTCTTCCTGTGACTCACTTCCTCACTGTTGAGGGCTGTTCAGGTGTCATCTTGCCATTAAGGCCTTACCTGACCTCTCTGCTGGAAGCAGCTCCCCTCTCCTCACACCCCTTGTCTCCTTTTTCTCTGTATTTTTCTCATAACACTTAGAACACCTGACATACTGAGTGTTTTGCTTGTTTATTTGTTAACAATCTGCCTCCATTAGAATGTAAGGTCCAAGGGGCAAGGGTGGTTGCCTGGTATTTTCCCCAACACAGTGTCTGGTACGTAGTAGGTGCTCCTTCTTCCATTTTATAGATGAAGACCTTAAGGCTTGGAGAGGTGAAGGAACTCATGCAGGGTCTCATAGGTAGTCAGTAGCAGAGTCCAACTTGAACCCGGAAGTGTGTGACTTCACATTTCTACAAGGACTGTCCCCCGGTGGGGTGGTGGAGGACGCTGGTAATAGGGCTGAACACCTGGGCCTTTGAAGATGGGCGGGTTTTCAACAGGGTACAGCCAGCCAGTGTGTCTGAGGAGCCCAGGGGGCGCAGGGAGCTGTGAGGAGAGGCACTCTCCAGCATAGAGGATGGGAGCCTACTGTCCAGAGTGCTGAGACCCTCCTGCATCCTTCTAGCAGGAGAGGAAGTGCTGCTGGTAGAGCCAGCTCACTGGCAGTTTTCTGCTTAGAAGCTCTCACTTCCAGTAGAATCCATGCCCTTTGTGGTGGAAAGAACTAACAGCTTCAGCCATGAAAACCAGGACAAGTCACTCCTCCCTGGGCCTCAGTTTCTTCATCTGTAAAACAGCAGAAATGGAGTTGAACTGGGTAACTTTCTCAGTCTTTTTCACTTCTAAAAAGCAAAGATTCTGTGCTATTTTGGCTCCAGATTCAGCTCACCTTCAAAAGCTGCACGCAGGGAACCCCACCCCTCCTCAGCTCTTGCCTCGGTTTTATGGAGCACTTATTGGGTGCCAGGCATTTGCCATGAGGCTCATGTAATTCTGCAGTAACACTGAAGCAGGTACTAGTACTGTCCCCGTGTTATATAGAGGAAACGTGCAGAGAGTACATTTACCTGGGCTAGTGGCAGGGCCAGGATGAGGAATCCAGGAAGTCTAAACCTGGGGCCAAGGCTTCTAGTGTAGCGTTCCTTAGCTGTTCTCTCCCTTTAGTCTGTCCACACAGGGGCACATGAGAGGGAGGCTCAGATGTCCACGCCAGCTCTGTAGGGTGGCAGGATGGCCCAGCGGGGAATGAATAGAAGGCTCGAGGCTGAGGCTTTGGCCTCTAAGCATGGTGGTGATGCTGCAGCCGCCTCTTCTTCCCTTGGCCCCCTTTTGTGCTAGGAAGTCAAGGGAGCTGTGAGGACAGAAGCAGTATCCCTGCCCCCAGAGGAAGGCCTGGTGAAAAGCGCCATTTGCAAGCAGGATCAACCACCTATGAAATAGTTCAGTTTGGGAGCCACTTAGGGCAGAAGGGAATAATTTGGGCCCTGAAGGGGAACTTGTAACCTCAGGACCCACCTGGAGCAATGTGCCACAGCTCAGGCCGCAGCTCTGTCTCCTTGGGGAGTCAGGGCTTCTTGGGGCTTGCTGGGTGCCTGCTGCCCCAGCCCTGGAGAGGCCACAGTGAAGACTGAGGCCCCACTAAGGTTTCAGCAAAGGAGGAGGGGATTGTCCCCTCCTGCTTAGTCAGAAGGGCCAACTGGAAAGACCTTTGGGCTGAGAGTCAGGCGACTTGGCCTCAGTGTGATCCTGAGCAAATCATCTGCCCTCTCTTGTGCCTCTCTTTCCCCTAAAAAATGAGCACACATGGCCACTCTTTAGCTCCCCTCCTCTTCTAGAGGGTGGAGATGGAGTATAGCAGTTAACAGTAGATGGGACAGTCTTGGGTTTTGAAAACAAAAAAAGCAAAGGTGAGTGGACAGACAGGAATCCAGGGGGTTGTTCCCTAATCCAGGATGCGGCTGGTACCCACTGGACCTGAAGGACTCTCTTGCCTGCTGCAGAATGAGCCCATGGTGGTGGCAGTTAAGGAGGGCAGTAAGGCAAGCATCCCTGCTGTGAGAGGATGGCCAGGGCCACACTGGCCTCCCTCCCTCCCTCCCTCCCTCTGCTGAACTTGTTTTTCCAAGTCACTAATTAACTTCACGCTCAGTCTCCCAGGTGAGTCTGCTCTCCTGGCTAACTTTTCCTCAGAGAGCCAGCTTCTGCTTCCCGTGTTTCCTGGCAGAATTGGGTTATGCTGTCCCTTCCCCTTACCTCAACCTCTCTGCTTTTCATGGGAGAGGGTGGTGCCAGGACTGGATTCCCAGCATGACCATGACCATGGCCACGGACAGGCAGTTTTGCCAACTCACCTCTGGATGGCCATGGAGAGCCCACAGGCTGGAGCCATTTACTTATTGCCCGTATCAGACTGTATTGACTTGGCAGCCCCTTTCTTCAGAGGAGAAGAATGAGGCCAGAAAAGGAACTTATATTTACTTTCACTGGGGAGAAATGGGCAGGAAAAGCTCCAGCAGTGTTGTAAAATAGAGAAAGTGTGTGATTGTTTTTTTGTTTGTTTGTTTGTTGTTTTTTGAGACGGAGTTTGGCTCTTGTTACCCAGGCTGGAGTGCAATGGCGCGATCTCAGCTCACCACAACCTCTGCCTTCTGGGTTCAGGCAATTCTCCTGCCTCAGCCTCCTGAGTAGCTGGGATCACAGGCACACACCACCATGCCCAGCTAATTTTTTATATTTTTAGTAGAGACGGGGTTTCACCGTGTTGACCAGGATGGTCTTGATCTCTCGACCTCGTGATCCACCCGCCTCGGCCTCCCAAAGTGCTGGGATTACAGGCTTGAGCCACCGCGCCCGGCCGTGATTGTTATTACACATGCATTTCATTGCCATTCATCCCCGGACCCAGCCTTCTCCTAACATGCTGTTTCTGATCAACCCATCCAAGTTCAAGTGTAAATGAGGTACATCGAGGTGTGTGATGGGCGATCTGTCCTAAGCCCAAGGCACACATTCCTGCGGGTGAAATAGCAGCCGTCAGGGAGCTAACTGGGAACAGGATCAGAGATTCAGAGATGGCTTTCCCAGGCCTGTGACTTGACCCTGCCTGGGAGCTGGTGAAAACATTGTGGTCTGAAGAAAAGGTACAACCTTTGAAGTTAAACAGTTCTGAGTCCAAATCTGGTTTTCATCCCTTCTAGGCTGTGTGACCTTAGGCAAGTATGTAACCTCTCTGATCTTTCCGTTGCTCCTGCATAAAATGTGATAAGGCCTGCCTCACAGGGTCATTGGGAGGACTGAAGGCAATTGAAGTATGTACAGAGTGCCTAACAGTCCCAGGCACAGAAGAGGCAGCCGATGACTATCATTCCCAGATTTCCCCCTTGAACTTGCTCCTGCTCCAGAAGCCCTGGAGGCGCTGCTTCTTGCTTCATTTTCCCAGGTTCCCTTGTATTCTTCATTGGTGTTTTGTAGTATGGAGTACAGGTGTGCCCTCCCCATCCCAGTGCAGACTCCCAGGGAGGGAAACCTCTCTGAGTCCTCACTAGACAGGGGACAGGGACATGCCAGTGCCTGTCTACATAGCCAGATGGAAATCAGGGTGCTTCAGGAAGGCATGAGGATTACCAAGTGGCCTCGAGGCCACTGACCTACCTTACCCACCTATTTAGGCTCAGCCATCTGGTCAAGGAGGAAGTGCAGTCCAGCCATCATGCGGGACAGGCAGCAGCAGGAGACATGAGACTGGACCCTGTCAGTGGGCACCCTGACAGTGGTGAATGGTACAGCATGAATAACACATGAAGGCTCCGTAATTGGTGTTATTACACATGCATTTCATCTCCATTCATAATGATTGGACACTTAAACCCAGCCGTCCCTCTGCCGCGTGCTGCTCTCATCCTAGCCGAGATCCCAGCAGCTGTCGGGATCAGCCCCTGCCACTCTGATGCTGATGAGTGTGGTTCCTTTTTCTTTGGAGCTCGAGTTCCAGGAAATGTCTGTTTGTGGGAAGGAGTGGGACTGGTTCTTGTGATCAGACCACCCTGTCAACTGCCATGGTGCATGTCATCCATTTTCAGGGACTTCCTCACCGTCTAGGCAGTCAGCAGGGACATCCTGAGGTGAGAGGCAGAGGAGACGATGGCTCATAGGCTCAGCCAGCAGAAAGTGGTCTAGGGCGATTCCTTGCAGCATCCTGCCTCTGGGCGTCCCTTCATACAGTGGATCCCAAACTGTAGTGCACATTAGGGTTACTTAGAAGGTTTAGTAAAACATTGCTGGACCTTACCCTCAGCATTTCTCACTCAGTAGGTTTAGGTAAACTTTGAAATTTACGTTTCTAACCAAAGGACCAGAGACCTAATGCTTCTAGTCCAGGACCACACTTTGAGGACCGTTGCCTTAAAACCTAGTTACTGCAACTTCGGTGCGTGGACAGAGCCTCACCTGAGTGCTTGTTACAAGTGCAGAATCACAGGACCTGCCACAAGCTTCTGGATCAGGAGTGCATTGTGATGAGATTCCCAAGTGGTTTTTACACTCATTGCAGCTTGAGAAGCATTAAAACGCAAAGGGGTCGGAGGTGGGCAGACCTATGCAACGCAGGTCTGGCAGCTGTAGATCTCTGACCAGTTGCTTCCAGCCAAGAGCAGCTTCTCTCTTCTGTGATAAAGACTGGGAAACATTGTCCTAGAGCCCCCAAGCAGATAAATAAAGACCCTCTGAGGAGGGACTTCCAGCCCCTGACTCCATATGTTAATCCCACCTCTTACCCTGGAATGCCCTTCCTGGTAACCTTCATGCAGAAGTCCATGTCCGCAGCCAGGCTTATTCATCCCTGTCTGACAGCTGCTCCCTGCTCTCCTCCCCTGCTCATAGGTAGTGGCCTTTGCCTCTCTCTTCTTCATCCTGGTCTCCATCACCACCTTCTGTCTGGAGACCCATGAGGCCTTTAATATCGACCGCAACGTGACGGAGATCCTCCGCGTGGGGAACATCACCAGCGTGCACTTCCGGCGGGAGGTAGAGACGGAGCCCATCCTGACCTACATCGAGGGTGTGTGCGTGCTGTGGTTCACGCTGGAGTTTCTGGTGCGCATCGTGTGCTGCCCCGACACGCTGGACTTCATCAAGAACCTGCTCAACATCATCGACTTTGTAGCCATCCTGCCCTTCTACCTGGAGGTGGGGCTGAGCGGCCTGTCTTCCAAGGCGGCCCGCGACGTGCTGGGCTTCCTGCGTGTGGTGCGCTTCGTGCGCATCCTGCGTATCTTCAAGCTCACACGCCACTTCGTGGGGCTGCGTGTGCTGGGCCACACCCTGCGGGCCAGCACCAATGAGTTCCTGCTGCTTATCATCTTCCTGGCCCTGGGCGTGCTCATCTTTGCCACCATGATCTACTACGCTGAGCGCATCGGGGCCAGGCCCTCCGACCCTCGGGGCAATGACCACACTGACTTCAAGAACATCCCCATTGGCTTCTGGTGGGCTGTGGTCACCATGACGACACTGGGCTATGGGGACATGTACCCCAAGACGTGGTCAGGCATGCTGGTGGGGGCGCTGTGTGCGCTGGCCGGCGTGCTCACCATTGCCATGCCGGTGCCTGTCATTGTCAACAACTTCGGCATGTACTACTCCCTGGCCATGGCCAAGCAGAAGCTGCCCAAGAAACGGAAGAAGCACGTGCCACGGCCGGCCCAGCTGGAGTCACCCATGTACTGCAAGTCTGAGGAGACCTCCCCCCGGGACAGCACCTACAGTGATACCAGCCCCCCTGCCCGGGAAGAGGGTATGATGGAGAGGAAACGGGCAGGTGAGATTAGGGGTTGGGAAGGAAAATCCCTTTTCCCCCAGTGGCCGAGGGAGTTTCCAGGTGAACTTCAGCCCTTGGGATTTGGGCTGGTGATTTATTGTGTGGGGATAAGCATGAGATGTGCCTTTATGAGAGCAAAGTGTTGAGGCTGAATTTCTCTATCCTCTGGCTGGTCTCCCATAGCTTCCCAAACATCAGATCTTTGGAGTGAGTATTCCACCCAGTGTAGGCTGTGAGGGGCAGTGCATGGGACTGTATATTAGATGCCCTGGTTTCTAATCCCATTTTGGCCACTGTGCTGTGTGCCCTGAGGCCAGTCACTCACCCTCTCTAGGCACCTGCAAAATAGGAGTGATATTATATCCTACCCTTGAGACTTTGGAAGACCCAAATGAATGACAGATGGGAAAGTACTCTGAGACATTAAAACCACTTTACAAACGTCAGGCACTGTCATTATTAGCCAAAGATCAGGGCAGCTGTTCTTCCAAGGTACATCAACACATGAATCACTTCTCTGCACACGTTGGAGTCTGGTATCTTGGCCTAATAAATGTGATAACGTAATAGTAGTGGGAGGCTGCCTTCTGTTCAGCACAAGCTAGAGCAAGTCCTGGACTCAGGGGTTGACATGGGATGGAAAGGAACCGAGGAGGGAGTGGCCCAGACAGTGTTGGGAAGGGGAGGAACATGGAAGAAACTGGTATCTGTGCCCTGAAAGAGGAGAGCCTGGGCATCTGAATCCTGTCCCTCAAGGACAGGAAAGGCCATCCCACGAAAGCTCATCTCCACCCCTGAATCAGGAGATGGGGAATGGAAAACAGCTTAATCCCCAGCAACATAGACTTAGGTTGGAGAGCGGGAAAGGCATCTTGACTGTTATGTGGAGGCCGCGCTCCTGGGAAATGAATGTAATTCCTGGTACAGGGAGCTGGACTGGAGCCAGGAGACTAAGGCTAAGCTCTGGGACAAAGTGGGACTGACCCTGCAGGAGAGACACCTGGCGTGGGACACTCACCCGTTGCCTTTGGCATGTGCCCATCATACATGCCTGGGTCCTCTCATTCCCTAGGGTCATGTCAGGGGCCTGGGTCTTGATATAATAGCACCCATCAGGCTTCCCATTTCTCCCCCACCAAAGTGATACCCCTTCCTAAGTCGTGAATCTTTATTAATCTTCCAGGGAATTTCAGCTGCACTCTGAGCCCATTCAGGGCTTAGAGAGAATCCTAATATTAACATGCGGAAGTCCTTAGGTCAGCTCCTCAAGGTACACTTCACAGTGGCCCTATCAGCCTTGCCCTTAACCTGACCCTAACAATAGCCACATTAAGGGCATGCCTGGCCAATGGTGGGGTCACTCTCTTTGCATAGAGCAGCACCCCCTTCTCCAGATCCCAGGGCCGAGCTTCACCTGTGCTGCTGCCTGACAGAGGCAAGGGGTGGGGACTAAGCCCATAGCTCTTGGGAGTTGCATCGGAGATTTTCCCACAGTATCCTCCCTAGACAAAGGTCAGCCCTAATTGCAGGGGGCTCTAGGTTTTTTGGGCACAGGACTCTGACCTAGATGCCTAGTGAACCAGACTGACTGTCATCCAGAGAGAAAGCATGGACACCACTTTATAGATTTAATCCTTGCTGTGCCACCCCTCACCTCTAGCAAGCTAGGCATTCTCCATGGGAGTGCAGACTCATCCAAGAGCCAGCCTGAGCCAGACCCAAGGAGGAAGCAGAGTTTGCAGCCTGCGTTGGGCTGATCTCCTGGGGCAACCGTCAGCAGGCAGATCTGGGGAGTCACTGTTGTAGGGCATCTGTGCTGTGTCTTCATCCCTGAGGAAAGACCCTAGGCTGAGGCTGGGAGGGAAGCTGGCCTTCAGACCAAGCACAGCATCCTGCCTTTGCCCTGGTGACACAGACTCCCAGGTAGATGCTAGGCCCTCTCCTGAGGTTGAGGAAGTGACACTCTGGGCCTGGGAGATCCCAGATGACGCCATGAGCAAGGCCCAGACAGCCCCTCATGCAGCCTCCTTTCTGTGTGCCCGCTTCAGACTCTAAGCAGAATGGCGATGCCAACGCGGTGCTGTCTGATGAGGAGGGAGCTGGCCTCACCCAGCCCCTGGCCTCCTCCCCTACCCCCGAGGAGCGCCGGGCCCTGCGACGGTCCACCACTCGAGACAGAAACAAGAAGGCAGCTGCCTGCTTCCTGCTCAGCGCTGGGGACTATGCCTGCGCCGATGGTAGTGTCCGGAAAGGTATGGCTTCCCAAGCTGGACAGGTGGGGAGCTCCCCAAGAGCTGAGTCTCCCCAGTCCCCCACAAAGAGCTTGAGGTCCCCCCCTCCCCTGAGACCGTGGCCACCATCTCCTCTGCCTTGGATGCATCCTTGCTTTTAGAATGGGTACCTGATCTCCAGTTCCTGGATTAGAAAGGCTACCTCATCACAAAAGGGCATACGGCTCCCGTCCAGCTGCCCACAGGAAAGAGCAGCACTAGAGGGTTGAGGACACACAAGGCCAGGGCCCCGCCCCGTGTGTCCGTTGCATCTCTTTCTCTTCCTCTGGTTCCCACTGCTGCCTTCAGGCCCCACTCCACAGGGTCACTTCCAGCTTCTCCCTAGGCCTCCTCTAAACACAGCTGAGGCTTCCCAAGTAGGTCACCCCTCGAGGTGCCAACAACGTTCAGGAGTCAGGGAGCCCCTTACAGGCCCTGCATCCTCCCATCCTGCCCCAGGGTTCCTGGAGCACAGGATGGGCAGACCATGTGCAAGTGCCTGGGGTGAGACTGTCCTCTTGAGGTAGTGCCAGAGGTGACTGGGGGGTGGGGCAGGTGGCCAGGAAGAGTGGGTCCCATCTGAGGAATGCTCTGAGGATTTGGAGAGGTAGAGGGAGCAGCCCATTCCCTGCTTGTCAGAAAGGTCTGAAATTCCATCCCCAGGCTCCAAGCCTGCGGCAAGGCAAGGACAGAAATTGGGCTGTGGAGCTAAGGGATTCCGGGCCTCGGAAAGGGGGCAGGAATGATCAAGGATGGTGAAGGGCCTGTGGTGACTGAGAAACAGACGCTCCTACCTGGTTTTCCATCAATTACTTGTCTCTCTTGCCCTGTCCCTGTTACCTAATCTCTCTCAACATTCTGCCTATTTCTAGAATAAAACCTGATTCCCCCCCCTTTTTTTTTTTTAATACCATGATAGACCAGGAATTTATAAACCCTGATTCCCTCCAAAACAAACTCTTTTCCAGGTTCTCTGCCACTTCTTAACCAGCTGGATTTCCCACCCCCCATTTCTCTCTGTCCCCAAACCCCAGACCCAAACTAAGTTGAGTGAGGCAGGGGCAGTGGCAGCTACAGGAATGGCCTGTGATGCCTCTATCCCTCCAAACATGTCCCCAGCCTGCCAGCCCATGCAGGCTCCCTGAGCATCTTCTAGTTCCTTTCCCAGCCCTTCCATTACCACTGTTCCCACAGAAGCCCCAGGCTCCCGAGTCTAACCAGGCCCTAAAAGGCATGTGTCCAGCTTTGCTGGGTGTGTATTCTGTGGGCTGGCAGAAGCAGAAACAGTGATCTGGTGCTTGGAAGGAGGTGGTCCAGCAATCCCAGCAAAAGGCTGCAGATGGAGAATGCTCAGACCTTGTACCCTCGCCTGTGTTCCTTTGTTCACCTCCATGTCCTATCCTTGGGTCCTGGAGGTGGGCTTCTCTCCTGCCTACCGTCCCAAACAGGCAGTGGCTTCCACTGTGTCCTTGTTCAGTGCCCAAAGCCTTGCTTTGGCTGGACCATGCTAAGCAGACAGTCTAGAATGATCGGTCCACGAATAGGACTCAAGAACATGGAGCTGAGTGCCATGCACACATGCTTTCCTCCCTGGGCATTGAGGGGCTCAGTGGAAACTGGTGTGGAAGAGGCCATGAGGGTGCCAATCAGGAGGGACCATGAGGTACAGGTAGTGAGCCGCACCTGGGGAAGGCAGTGCACGTGCACGGGGGAGGGGAGCCAGCGTCCCACCCTCCAATATCCCTGGGGTGCCTGTGGGGCCTGGCTGCTCTGTTTTCAAGATGCCTCCACAGTGCTTCCTGGCAACAAGCATGTAGCTCAGCCAATTAGGGTGACCTTCGAGAGGGAACAGGTGGGTTGCTGGGAAACAGGCCCTGCTAGACAAGCATGGCAATTAACATCGCCAAACTCCCAGTGCGCACTCGGCAACTTTCCCCACGCCATACTGTGCCGCACTTCTCCACACTCGGTCACGTTTAAGACTGGGAGTGAGTGGGCCCAGGCCTCCCCACACAGGCCCATGTGGCAGAGTGCCAGTTCCCTGGGAGGATGGTGGCAGGTGCTAATTAGGGCCTTAGGATCAAGAAGGTCGATGCTGGCGGCTGTGGGGTCTTTGTGCAGCTGGACTATAAGGAGCTGGGGGGGGGCGGGTGGCAGGGAAGCTTACCTGGGGACGGGACAGGACAAAAGTCAGCTGGGCGTGGGGCCCTAGAGTCTGTCCTCAGGAGTCCAGACCTTGACAGTGAAAGAGGGCCCAGGAGGGCCAGGCCCCTCCACCCCTGCCCAGGGCTGCCGCCCTGCAGTATTCCCTGGAACGTGGCCCCTGAGGAGCTGCACCCACTGACCCGTGTGCCTTTTCTTCACCAAGGCTGTGGAAAGTCCCGGAGTCTAAACAACATAGCTGGAGCAGCTGGAACCAGCCTGGGGCTGTCTCCACTGGCATCGCGATACAGCTCACCCTACCCTCTGAGAAAGTTTCTGCTCACCCCCTTCCAGCCCCTCACCGGCCCACCCCCTGGTCACTCTGCCCCTTAGCTGCACCTTTCCCTCCAGGCACATGTGCACAAATAGGAGCCTTCCATGCCCTCAGCGCTCACTCACCGAGGGCCCACGGGGACAGCAGGAGGGAGCAGTCAGGAGGGGAGAACGTAGGCCCCTGAGCCTCTCCTCCATAGCTCCCAGCTTCCCGAAAGGTTCAGCTCTGGAACGGGAGAGCAAAGGGGAGCTCAGTCCCAGGGCTTCTCCCCACCCCTAACCGCCTCTTCCTGGGCTGTAGGTGCACACTCTGGACCTGTCTCTCGGCCTTGCCTCCCTCTTGGGGTCCCAGTCTCAGCCACCAGGCGTGTATGTGCACACAGTGCACCTGGGCCAGTTAGCCTTGCTGGGGAGCTGGGCCTATGTTAATATTTTTAATCTCTGCAAATTTTACCAGTAGCCAAACAGCCTGTCTGTCTGTCTGTCTGTCCACCCCACACCCAGACCAGCAAGGAACAAGGCTGTCATATGGGGCATCTCTGCTCATGTAAAGATGGTTTGACTCCTTGGAAGAGCAGTGCCTATGGGCAGTGCTGCGCTGGGAGAAGAGGCCTGATGTTTTCTGTCTCTGGCTTGGGGCGCAGGCGGGGGTCCCTAGCTCTGTAGCCTCAGGCTTGGTGCAGGTCCTGGATGGCTGCCTAGGCGAGGGAGACCCTTCCCTTGGGAAGCCTCTGCCCAGATTCAGTGGTGACTCCCACTGGCGGCACCTGGTGTCCCTTCTGCGCCCGGAGCTGCTGCAGCATCGCTCTCCACGCTGCTTCCTCTGCTTCTGCGACAGTTTTTCTTCCCTCTCCCACTCCCTCAAACTCCCAGCCCTGCCTCTGAGTCACCTGCCGTTCCCACCCAGCCTCTGCGCTTTGTATTCCTGCCAGAACCGGAGACTCATCTAATTTCTATAATTAAGTGTATTCATTTACCTAACGAGCCCAGGAGCACAACAGGTTTCTGAGTCACTGGGTGAGCAGGGGTGCACCTTGCGCAGGGGCAGCTGAGGGGAAGTGTGGGGACAGAAGCCATCCTGCCCCCAACTGCTCCTGCCACTTCCAGGAAGGGGGCCCTCCACAGCCTGAGGAACAAGGTTGCCTCAGCCAAGATGTTTCCTGTTTCACCTGATGGGAATTAGACCTGACAGCAGAGCCCTGCGCCTGGCAATTTTTAGAGTCAGATTATGCAACTTTGCGGAGAGAATGACTAAGTAAGGTCCAGATCTGCTCCTTCCATGGTCAGCAAAGATAGGATGGCAGGGCAGCATCAGGGCTGGGCAGAGGCTGGGCAATCTGGGGCTGTCCGAAAGGTGAATTGGGCAGAGCAGATTATTGCGTGGGGTTGGGGGTATTGTGTAAAGCCTGTGTCTGGAGCGTCCCCACCTCGGTGCCTCCTTCAGTCTTGGGCAGACACAGAAATGTCCTTCTGGAAAGGTCTGTCCTGAGTGGGCACTGGGATACCCCACCCTGCAGTGCTTTGTGGGGCCCACCTCCTGCTTGCTCGCAGAATGAAGTGATCCCTAAAAGTGGAGAAGAGGGAATTCGGGGGCCTCCATGCAACTGTCCTTCAGAAGGGAGCCGGCCTTTGAAGTGACAGGGATGGGGAAGCCTGTGGAGCAGGATGGAGACATAAGGGCCCCGCCCCCAACAGAAACAGGGCTCCCGGCACAGAGGGCCTGGGCTCTGACCGGGACACAGCGAGCCTGGTGTGCAGGTTAGCAGGGGTGCCACTGCTCTTTACTCCTCTGACTTGCCTTTCTGGTTCAGGGAACCGAGGCCGCTATTTCTGTGGCAGCCCTCAAGTTGTCAGGAGCCCAAGTTTCCACGGCCCCCACCGCCTCCTTCCCTCTCTTCCCTCCCACAGGGCTGGGCCTGCTCATGGCACCCCTCTGGTGGGCACAGATGTCCCTGGGCAACAAGATGCAGCAGTGCCAGGCTGGAGCCCCAATGCCTCAGGGAGCTGGCTCCCACACATCCCTCCTGGGTCTCTGGCTTCATCTGGGAGAGACAGAACCCAGATAACAGGAGGGCTGAGTAGACTCTCTGCCCTTACAACCTCTCAGCACCTCTGGGCCTGCCCAGGGCCCTAGGAAAGGGCAGGGTGAGCCCTGGCATTTGCAGAAACCCTGGATACCAGGCACTGCCATAGGAAGTGGCTGTCTGCACAAGCGTCGGGCTTACCCAGGCCTTGGGCCTCCCTCCTTGGGAGAAGGCTCTCTCCCACCCACCATCTGAGAGTGGAGTTTGTTTTCCTTCGGCTAGACCTGGACCTGCACCCACTCCTTGGCTGTCAGATGCCTTTCCCCTGCAGCTGGAGCTCCGCCCCTTCCCACAGAACTGGGAGGTAGTCTGGGAAGAAGTTCACAACCTCACCTTGCAGTCTGTAGCAGGGCTACTAGCAACCCTAGAGGCCACTTTTCAGGGCTTCTGAGGGGTAGAACCAGAGGAGGGGGCGCTGCAGCC